GAGACGGGAGGATTGCCTGAGCCCGGGAGGCAGTGGTGAGCCGTGATCGCGCTACTGCCCTCAATAAAATAAAAATTAAAAAATAAAGGCAGGCGCAGTGGCTCACACCCATAATAAACCCAACAATTTGAGAGGCCCAGAAGAGAAGATTACCTGAGCCCAGGAGTTTTGAGACCAGCCTAGGCAACATTAAACTTCATCTCTATAACGAATCAAAAAATGAGCTGGGCCTGGTGGTGCACGCCTATAATCCCAGCTACTTAAAAGGCTGAGGCAGAAGGATCACCTGAGCCCAGCAGGTTGAGGCTGTGGTCGTCATGATCGTGCCACTGCATTCCAGCCTGGGCAACAGAGTGAGACGCCAACTCAAAAATACTAATTATAATAAGTAAAATAATAATAATAATAATAATAATTAGAAATTAAAATGGAGTAAGCTTGTTGGATCCTGAAATTCAGGGAGCTTCTAGATCATGGAAGCAGTGGAGAAGAATAGGGCAAGGTGTTAGAAAGGTCCAAAGGATCCTTTCTATTTGTTTCTTTTTGAGAGCGTACCCTGGGCCAGGCTGAAGGTATTGGCAAAGCATGACTGCGTTTGGGACAGGAATGAAGATGCCGGATGACTGTCAAGTGTTGAGGCCAGGTACAGTCTGAAGATTTGGGGAAGGCTTGGCTACTGGGAGCTTTGGCCAAAAGCTCAGAGACTGGGTGTTGCTGACCCCAGGGACTCATCAGAACTCCTAGATAGATTCCTTCTGTCTGCCCTTCCAAATGTGTCAGTTTCGTGAGTGGCCTTTGGGAAACACAGTAGATTCAAAACTTACCTCTCAGTTCTTTTAATATTTATGAGACAGAATAAACTGTCACAACAGCAGAAGCATTCAAACGGGTGCCTAGTCCCAAGAGCCACCTCCCACCACAGACTGTGCTGGCCAACTGAGGGGCTCACCAGGCTGTGACAATCCCACACACCTCAAAGCCAAGCAGAGGAACAGCTGTTACAGGGCCTAGAAACCTGAAGACAGAAAGGTGAACTGCTTCCATCCTAAACTTGAATTCACACACTGCCACTGAACTGAATGCTTCATAAAGTGTGGCCCAATTGTGGTACCACTGGATGTCTCAAATCCGGTTAAGTGAAAAAGAGAGGTCAGGATCCAAGGCTCCAGTGAGTATCATAAATTCAGGTCAGCAAAAATTAGAATCACCAGTGGCAAAGGACATGTAGATAGCATTTCTTACTTAACAAAACATTTTCTTTTCTTTTTTATTTTTTTGAGTCGGAGTCTCACTCTGTTGCCCAGGCTGGAGGGCAGTGGCACGCTCATGGCCACTGCAGCCTCGACCTGCTGAGCTTAGGTGATCCTTCTGCCTCAGCCTTCCAAGTGGCGCTTGCCACCATGCCTGGTAATTTTTTGATTCATTGTACAGATGAAGTTTTCCCAAGTTGCCCAGGCTGGTCTCAAACCCATGGGCTCAGGCAATCCTCTCACCTCGGCATCCCAACAAAACATTTTCAAAGCCAGCACAATGGCCCATGCCTGTAATCTTTGGAAGGCAGAGACTCATCTTTACAAAATATAAAAAAATTTAGCCTGGCATGGTGGTGCACGCCTGTAGACCCAGCTACTTGGAAGGTTGAGGCAGAAGAACCACTTGATCTCAGAGGGTAAGGTTACAGTAGCTGTGAGCATGCCACTGCACTCCAGCCTGGGCGACAGAGTGAGACTCTGAATCAAAAAAAACAAAAAACTCACTTCTAGCTGGAATTGGGACATCGTTCCCACATCTCACCTTTCTCTTAGGTTTCCTCCTTCCTGGGGGTCCTGAGCATTTGAACCTCACAGCTGGGACTCCTCCTCCACCCAGGAGATGAGGGCTGTTTTGAGGTATGGGAATTCTGGTGAAGAACACTTAAGAAATATATTCTAAGCCAGGTGTGTGGCCCACACCTGTAATCCCAGCACTTTGGGAGGTCGAGGCAAGAGGACTGCCTGAGCTCAGGGGCTCGAGACCAGCCTGAGCAACATGGCAAGACCTCATCTCTACAATAAATAAAAAAATATCAGCCGGGCACATACCTGTGGTTTCAGCTACTTGGAAGGCTGAGACAGAAAGATCATCTGAGCCCAACAGGTGACTGTAGTGTCTGTGAGCATGCCACTGCATTCTAGCCTAAGCAACAGAATTAGACTCCAACTCAAAAAAGAAAAGAAAAAAAAATTATAAAACTACCTATGCATTCATTTAATGAAGACGTATTGTGTGCCAGACATTATTTTTGACATTCTGGGTGTTGAAGACATTGATGAACCAAGATAAAATTCCTGCACTAAGGTTACACTGAGCTTGGGTAGAGAGATACCAGGTATGAATTTGGCTAGTACAAGTTTGGGGAAGACCTTCTGAGCAGATTGTGCTTGGGGTTATAGAGATAGACACAGTTCCGAGGAAGCTTCTAGCACAGGACAAAAGGAATTCTCGAAGAATTTATTGGAGATAGCACTTGAGAACACTGAAGGATGGGTTAGATTTGGAAATGTAGGTAACTTCTGCAGAGCAGAATAGCAAGAGCAAACTTTCAAAGACTCATTCACATAGAAACATGTCCACAGAAAAAAAGATTCCATTTAGCACCAGTTAGGGAAAGATCATTTTTGTTGTTGTTTTAGAGACAAGGTCTCATTATGTTGCACAGGCTAGTCTCAAATTCCTGGTCTGAGTGTGATCCTCCCACCTCAGCCTCCCAAAATGCTAGGATTACAGGCGTGCAGCACCACGCCCAGCCAAAAGTTGGGGTTGAATTTGAGGTTAGTGTGGCAAGGTCACTGAAAGCTCTTGGGGTATAGGCTCTGAACTTTTTCCAGGACGTCTTAGGTAGCCATTGGAGGAGTCTGGCAGGAGACACGTGAATTTCAATGAAGCTGATCCGGCAGGGATCACGGGAATTGGAAACAACCTGGGGCAGGAGCGGGGGTGATTCAGGCACCGGCCCCTTCCCTTTTCGGAGATTCAGGTCGGTTGGGCACCGCCGAGCACGCCTAGGTAGCCGTAGGTTTCCCGCATCACGTCTCGGTACAGGACAGGTACACCCCCTCTACCAGACATCCTCGCTGTTCCAGGGAGATGACACGGCCACGTTCGCGAGGCCCACGGCCCTCGGGCTCTTTCCCCTTGTTGGTCCCGCCGCCTTCCCAGGTATATCGCCAGGGAGCCGGGAGCGGGTCCAGGGAGGAAGCCATGAGCTCCTGCGCTCACGGGAAGGCCGCTGCGGATGGAGATTTGTGATCGGGGGGGTCCACGAGGGCCTCGGCGACCGGAAGTAGCTGTGGGTGGGGCCGCTCTGGGATAGCGAGGAAAAGACCGACTACTCGAACTCGGTGGTTCCGGGACCGACAGAATGAAGGCGCCCTCAGAAAAGATGGCGGCAGTACAGCTTCTTTTCATCTTAGAAAAAGGCGTTTATCAGCGTGACTGTCGATCTGGTGTTGGTGACTTGATTTGTTCCCCCTCGAGTTGTCCTCCCTTGCTGTTCCTCTCAAGCTGCCATGGCCGCTCTTCTTGCCCATAACTAAGACGGCCGCGGCCGCTTCAGTGAATGGGTGAAAGGTGAGGCTAGGATGCGCACGCGAGGTTTCCAGATGGGAAACAGAGCCAGGGCTCAAGGGGCCCCGGGTATGACGTCCCCTTCCCAATCCCCGCAAGGAGGCTCACTCAGTGACTGAATTTTTGAGAGAGAGAGAGAGAGAGAGAGAGGCAGGGAGGGAGAGAGAGAGAAAGAGAGAGAGAGAGAGAGAGATACTTGCAAAGTCATTAATTTCTCAAAAAAATTTCATTTACAAACTATGGAAGACGATTCAGTGGCGTCTCCTCCTACCCTATACTTCTATTAACGGTTCTTTAAATATCCTTTCAAAGATAGTGTATCCATCTATGATATTCCCACACATTTACTACCCCTTTAACTGAGGCCACTGTACACTGGGCCTCAGAGTTATTGTGAGAGAGGAGAAACGAAGAAACCCAATAGGCAGACAAATGGGGGAGGTGTCCAGTAAACACTGCAACTTCTGC